AATAATGCTTCTAATTCCGCGTCTTCGTACACTTTCGGCCTTCCGCTACGTTCTTTGTCTTCGACGTCAAATTCACCGTTCTTAAACTTTTGAAACCATTCACGATAACTTCTCTCATTTAAGGTAGCATCACTATATGCTTCTACAAGCAAGCTATGAGCCTCAGCTGCAGATTTCTTCAAATTAAAGAAGTAAATCAAAAGTTTCCGCAAATGACGCTTATTCGGTTCAAAACTCGACATTTTCGTACAAAAAAAAAATATGATGCTGATACAAAATCGCTAATATTTCAAGGTTATGGTGTTGCCGGATGTCCAATCTTACGATATGTCGTTTTACATCAAACAATTTTAACTATAGTTTATTAGTGTCGCCGTCTTTTGCAAACGGCGGAAACTTATTTGTACTCCCAATAAAATGCGTTTATAAAGTTTTATTAAGGAATAAGAATGATAAATATGTATATAAAGTAATAAATAATAATTATAATCTTCCTACATACGAGGGTCGTTTGATAAGTTGGTAGAAAAGCAAGTAAAACACATTTTTTTGGAAAAAATCTGCTTTATTTCTCAACATAATATCCATCAATGACTATACACTTAGTCCAACGAGTTTCCAATTTTTTAATACCGTCGGAAAAGTAGGCTGTCTCAAAGTCTGCAAAATACTCATTAATGGCGACTTCCTCATTTACAAGAATTTCTTCTTACCGAGCCAAGTTTTTAAATTTGGGAACAGAAAGAAGTCACACGGGGCCAAATCCGGAGAATAATGGATGAGGAATCAATTCATAGCCCAATTCGTATAGTTTTTGCCATTGCAACGGTCGACTTGTGGGACGGCGCGTTGTCTTAATGGAAAAGCACTTTTTTGCACGTCAATCTTGGCCGTTTTTTTTTTCAGCTCTTCTTTTAAACGGTCCAATGTTGCATAATATTCTTCTGTTATTGTCTTACCCATCTGCAAGTAGTCAATTAGGATAATTCCTTGAGAATCCCAAAAAACAGTGGCCATCATCTTTCCAGCCGACAAAATAATCTTCGCCTTTTTCGACGCACTTTCACCAGACATTATCCACTGCTTTGACTGCTGCTTCGTTTCAGGAGTGTAATGATGGATACAAGTTTCGTTCACAGTCACGAATCGACTAAAAATTCTGCGGATTGCGCTTAAACATCGCCAAACACTGCATTGAAACATCCTTTCACATGCGTTTTTGATCGAGAGTAAGCAATCGCGGCATCATCCCATCGTGTACACCCATTGTATACACAGCTTTTTTACATGCAATTTTTCGTGCAGGATGTTATGCACTCTCTCCGTGGAGATGCCTACGTCCTCAGCAATCTCACGCACCTTCATTCGACGATTTTCCATAATCATACCATGATTTTTTCCACGATATCCAATATGGTAATCTCAACAGGTCATCCGGAGCGCGCTTCGTCTTCAGTGCAGGTTCGGCCACGTTTAAATTCGTTTATCCAAAAATAAATGGTCTTCAATGCAGGAGCAGAGTTCCCATGAACTTAACTCGGCTTTGATCTGCGCTGCTGTCCACTTCTTTAAATAAAAGTGTTTTATTACTGCCCGGAATTTGTTTTTTTTCCATTTTTGCGGAAATTGCTAAATCACTCGCTTCAAATGACTACCAAGCGTGAACTATGCGTCCTTTCTGGCTGAAATTTGGCCTGAAGAGGTTCAAAGAGTGGATCTTTCGAGATGTCGCGTCATCAAATGGATTATAGCGCCATCTCATGGAAATTTACCAAACTTATCAAACGACTTTCGTATATTACAAGTATTATGACATGAGGTACATATTTCATATAATGCGTTTATTGCATTTAATGCACTGAATTCAATCTGCGCACTTTGTATGCTTTTGGCAAAAAAATTCCATTCCTTAATAATGCCATATATCCCAAACAAGTGGGATATATAAGACAACAAAAGAAAGAATACGAAAACAAAGCACTTGTATATATAGTAAAGCATTTTTGCTACACAACATGCTTTATTATATACTACACGTATGTATCACGAAATAACCATAAATTTTTTACACGCCCTACAGTAATTGTTTTATGTAGATTATGATGACGTTACTTATTACAGTGACAAATCAATTCAACTCACAATAATTCATTAATATTAACAATAAGAAGCTGAAATTATAACACAATACTAATATAATATAAAAACATAATAGAGTAATTGTAGGAAAATTACCTCCACTCCTATTTTTTCTAATTTCTGCGATGTATATAAATCCCAGCGCGGCGTTTTGCCGGAATTACTCTAATCAAAAAATAATGTTACAAATTTTTAGTAAGTGTTACCAAATAATAACAATTTGATAATACTTATTAAATATTTGTAAAAGTAATATTATTTTTGATTATATTAATTATATAAATTATTTGATTGGCATTATTTTGCCATACATTTTAGTAGCTATTATTAAACAACCTGTTCTCTCTCTCTCTCTCTCTCTCTATATATATATATATATATACACACACACACACACACACACATACTGCTAAAAAAATATGATGATACAGTGATTGCTAGTTATGGCAATACAACACACTTTATTGCTAATATTGCTATTGTATTGTTTTCCTAGGCATTGCCACCTATTGCGCGCAATATTGCCAATATTATTAATTGCTATGTATTACATGTTATTATTAGCATAATAATTGCTAGCGTATTGCTAGTACTGCTACTATTAGCATTGCCTGTTTAATTACTGTACTGTCGCAATATATTTCTAAAGAAATGCACTGATTGCCGTAGTGGTTGACTTCTTGTCAGACTCTTTTTTTTCAGTGTACGATAAAGAATAATGGAGATGCTCATAATATACGATACCTATTCGAAAAACTTCCGTGTCTAATAAATCAATAAAGTCTCGGAATTATGAAATTAGAATGGCTCGATATTGTTTATTTTACAAATATTAACAAGCAGAATAAAATATCTTATCTGAATAGATTGAGGATCTTATAAAATTAGAGGAAAAACATAAGAAATAAAAAAATAACATATCTTATTTAATATGATAAATACTCGAAGTACATAAATTTAGATCAAACTTCGCAGCATATTGGAATGTCGCGAAGACAGATGCATCTTTTTACAATAATTGGCATTACTAGTATTAATCGTTATAAAAATATAAAAGGTGCTTATCTGCAGTGCTTATAATACCCCTATTTAGGGGCGGCGAAACGGTAAGCGAGTTCGGTACGGCGAGGGGACCACCATATTTTAGAGCTGCCTAACATATCTGTGTTGTATTGAATGAGATTGAAATACATTTTTTTAATAAATTGCGAAATATATAAAGATCGTGAACTATGCATTAATTAAAAAGCATTAATTAAAAAGCAAATAATTATGATTCGTGACACTTTTATGCATTTCGAAATTCCTAAAAAAAAATCTCAATTTTAATAACATTAAGTATCAATATATCGATATACATATTTAGATTTTTGCAATTTTTTCAACACTTTTCTTTTTTTCCTTTACATAATATCTGTCATTTTTTAAAATGATTGTTCCACGATTTAATAGAGACGCCTCGGTAAATAGTCGAATGCAACTTTCTTTTTTTTTTTGTTTAATTTTTCACATTGAAAACTTAAATTTAATTTTTTGAAAAATATTTAACAAATATTTTACGCAAGTATTAGGTGTACAATTTTGCTTCCGCCGTTTTTTTCCGAAATTCGAGGCTTTATTGTAAAAAACTAGTTACATATACATTTATGATTCAAAGTATTGTCCATCGCTAACCACTACTTTCTCCCATCTTTCGGCTAGCGTACGAATCCCGCGTCGAAAAAACTGGTCATCTTTTGAGACTACCCACGAATCGATCCAATTTTTTACTTCTTCATAAGACCGGAAGTGCCTGGTCAGCCAGGCCGTGTGCCATTGATCGAAACAAGTGATAGTCAGAGCAACGTCTGGAGAATACGGTAAGACTTCTCATTTCAATGTTTCCAAGTATGTCTTTACCACTTTCGCAACATGGGGTCGAGTATTGTCATGCTGCAAAATCACTTTATCGTGTCTCTCGTTGTATTGCGTTTGTCTTTCAATGCTCGGCTCAAACGCATCAATTGCGTTCGATACCGATCGCCTGTGATTGTTTCAGTCGGTTTTAACAGTTCATAATACACTACGCCGAACTGGTCCCACCAAATATAGAGCATGACCTTGGAGCCATGAATATTCGGTTTGGCCGTCGACGTGGAAGCATGGCTGGGAACTCCCCATGATTTTCTGCGCTTGGGATTATCGTAATGAACCCATTTTTCGTTCCCAGTCACAATGCGATGCAGAAATTCCTTCCGTCTTTGCCTTTCAAGCAGCTGTTCACAAGCAAATGCCGGTCTTCGACGTCAAAATCACCGTTCTTGTAGCGTTGAAACTCACGATACGTTCTTTCACTAATAGCGGCCTCACCATAAGTATTTGAAAGCATTCGATGAGCCTCAGCGGCAGATTTCTTCATATTGAAGCAAAAAATTAAAATCTCCCGCAAATGACGAGAATTTGGCTCGTAAACTGACATTTTCAATCGAGAATAACTTTATGATGCAGACACAAATCGACTAATGTTTTTATGGGATTATGTTTATAGATGCCCAAGTTTATTGTATGACATCTATGATTTATTTATTTCGACCATCCCTTACCGCTAAAGCCATCTATAGGAAAACGGCGGAAGCAAAGTTGTACACCTAATAATAATTAATAAAGTATATATACGCATCAACTTTCCATATTGCGCGGTTTATATTGGCATATCC